TTTTTTTTTTTTTTTTTTTTTGCAAACTTTGGTATCCTTTTCCTTACTTGATTGACCTTTTGTCTCTTTTTCAGAGTTTCTCAGTATGTGGTGTAGTTCTTTCATAGTGGGTTTCTCACTTGTCTCTTCCTAAGTAACTTAAAGCAGTTTGAGAGTTCCACTCTTTCCACTGGTCTTCTAGTTCTTCTGTGTATAACTGTCAGCCTGTTCTAGGGAGTTTCCTAATTTTCCCTTCCCTCAGGGTTCTCTTCTTCTGTCTCAGCTTGTTGATGCACTTCTTGCTTCTGGATTACACTTAGCTGTTACAGTTCCACCACTCTTGAGGGTAGGCACTCACCACCTTTTCTCCTAACAGGACTATTAGCTTGCACTTGTTGTACATGTAGGTCATGTTGCCCTCAAGTACAAAAACAAACATTGCAGCTAAGCACCCATTTTTACTTTTTCTCTGCAAATTTTCCAGCAACTGCATTTTTACCAATCAGGGTTCTGAGAAGTTCCTGTTGATCAAGTAGGGAAAAGAGCTTTAGGGGCCAAAGATTATAGAAGAAAAATGGCAAGTACAAGAAGGAAAAGGTTACCCCCCTCCCCCTTTTACTATTATTCTGTCAGTGCTTCTACTGCAGCATTAGCAGCAGCAAAGGGTTAGGAATCCTTTATATGTTGCCGAAAGAAGCAGATACAGAGAAGTCAACTAATACATGATTGTACCATGTAAATTAGACTGGAATTGAAATTGACCTTGATCTGATCTGAATAGGTAGTACAGACATATGCTAAGAGTAATGTTTAGTGCATTCTGTAAACGGTGGAAGCAAAACTTTTTGGAGTAGACAAAGCATCTGTGAGAGAAGGCAAATAAACCAAATTGCAGCAAGATGAATAATTTTGTTGTTATGTGCCATTATGCTGTCTCTGACTTATGGCCGCTCTATAAATGAAAGCCCTCCCCCTCAACAAGTCTTGTAGCACTTGTAGCATCCCTGCTTAGCTATTTTAAACTCAAGGGTATAGCATCATTTATGGAGTCAATCCATTTCTTATTTAGTCTTTCTTTTCTTCTTCTGCTTTCTACTTTCCCTAGTCTGATCCCTTCTCCAGTAAATTTTGCCTTCTCAGGATGTATTCAAAGTACGACAGCCTCCGTTTTGCCATTTTTGCTCTGAGGGAAAGCTTTGGCTTGATTTGATTTAGGACTTTGTCTTTTGCTCCAGGGATATTCACATAACTCTTCTCCAGCACCATGTTTCGAATGTGTCAATTTTCTTCCTGTCAGCTTTCTTCACTATACAGCTTTCACACTCATACTATACAGCTCTCACACTCACACTCACACTTATACAATTGATGAATAAACAGTATTTCTGTTAACTGCCTTTTGTAACATTTCTGACGTTTGTGTTGATTCTGGTGCAGATTGTTAACTGAGATATTCTCAAGATATTAGCATTTTTCTATTTTGTCTTTGTCAAATTGTTCTTGCCATGATATAATCATTTAATAAGATTATTTCTGTTTTAGTTTCAAGCTTTCCCCATTCCTCAGTTATCTCTTGTACTTGAACCATAGTTCTATGCTGTGAGCCGCCCCGAGGCTTCAGCAAGGGGTGGCATAGAAATGTTTTAATAAATAAATAAGTGGGAAGCATGTTCTATGCTGCAATAGTAGCAGTCAGTACTAATTCCCGGTTGGGCACTTCCTCATTCTGAATAGGATGTCAGTCTTATTTTAAATTGCCTTTCACCATAAATCCTAGTTCAAAATACAATTTCATATTTTCAAAAATTAAAACTTACCACAGAACCATACTTGTAGATGCACATTATTTCAATACCTAGTATAGAGACAATATCACATTTCAGTGATGTTATGCCAATTAGAAAAATTTAGTGAGTTAAGAGTATCTTTAACAAATGTATGAATGTGCCTGAATTCCAAGTCTTTGCATACTGTAAACATGTGGTCCGTTAAGTACCTAGCCAGTAGCAATTATAGGGAGAAATTATGAACAGATCTTTTACTTTCCCTCATTTTGCATTAGGGTAGTGCTAGGTGCTTGATGAACAAACATGTGTTCCAAATCATGCTTTTGCCAAACTAATGGGAATTTGGAGGCAGCAGGGCGCTTGTAGAAGAGGAGCAGCACTTGGAAAGGAAACTTAATCCCTTCTGAGCCTGCCAATGTTCCCCACAGCCATTCTTCCTCACCCCTTGCCGCCACACCAGCTGGGTTCACTTCTGGTTTCAGAACCAAATTGGAGGAAGAATTTAAAACTTCTGGGGTTACATTTGTAGGGGGAAATTGGTGTGTGTGTGTGGGGGGGGAGTTTAAACATCTCCCACAAATTTGCCCCTGCCTAGTGCCTGTCTATGTGACATGACATGGGTATGTAAGTGTGAATGAATGGATGGATCTGAGAGAGAATTGTGTGCACACATGCTCATATCCATCCATACCTGGCATCCATGGAGGATGCAGAGCAGGAGTTGGGTATAAGACTGCTGTGGTAGAACCTGCAGCAGGGCCAAGGAGGAGGCTGCTGGCCCTGCATCCCTGGTCTGACTTGTCACCTAAATGTAGGTACTTCACTGTCTCAAGGGCAGAACTAAACTTCATTAGGGAAATACATCCCTGACCAATTAGGAAGATACATCCCTAACCTCAACCTCATGTTCCCTTTGTAACATAATGCAATGTAAAGGGAGGGGGGTAATGGCTAATGCAAATTTGTAATTGAAGCTTAATTTTTTCCCACCTATCAGGTTTTCTCCATTAATGCTGCCTCCTGAGTTTTAAATCTGTCACCCATCTTCTGCTCTGTGTGGTTGGATGGGTGGGTCTCAGCATGTGTGTCAGAAAAAGCAATTGTGAAGTGGAGGGTGGAGAAGACATTTAATTTCACAACCATGCCAAACTTCCTCTCCCTCTAAATATTCTTAAGAGGAGTTGGACCTGACCATTCCCATAATCATTGTGTGATACCCAACAGATTACTCCAAATTATACAGTTCTTGGTGTTTCAAAAGTTTCCCCACTCCTGAAATGTCCATTCATGTTCTCCAACTGCTTTTAAAACATCATTCTTCTGTAGAGGTCCCCCACACTTACCATGTGGGTCAGCATCCATAAGAGCAAAGACAGGTATTTGACAAGTATCCCATAATTTTCTGACTAGAAGCCTTGTATTCATATCTGGTACACCTTTCCCCTAAGAAAATAATGTCTAGTTAGAGTTTATATAATAGCTTTGTTTTGAACAGAAAAGCTATTCATTGCACTGCACTTAAATAAGTCCCAGAATAACAAATGTATTTAATTTAGTAGTTGCTCTGTAACTATTCTCAGTATGACTTCAGTACAAATTCTACACAAAAGTCCAATAAAGTCCACATACAGAAGATCAACGTCTGAAAGCAACACAAAATATCTAAACCAAGCAGAAACTAAACAGCAAGTGATAACTCCTAAAATTGTATTGGAGATCAAATCACTTTAAAATACAAACTGGACAACAAGAACAGAGCCATGTGAAAAGGCTGCAGAAATAAAAAGAGCAAAAAACCCCTAGGAGCAAGGGGTTGCTTGGAGCAAAAAAAAAACCCCCTTTCTGGTCAGTAGAAAAGGCTGTTCTAAAATGGGTGTGCACATGTGCATGTGGGGTGCTAATGAGTAGACTGTATGGGAAGAGGTAGTCCTTCACATAATCCTGTCCCTGAGCCATGATGAACTTCAAGCCAGCTGTTTAAATTGGGCTCATGGGGGGGAACAGGTTGCAGTTAAAATGGCAGAATTCTAGTATAATATGATTGCAACACCTTTGCTCCAGTCAGTACTTTTGCTGTCATATTTTGTATGAACCAAAATTTCTAAACTATGTTTAAAGGCAGCTGTATGTGCAATGCATTGCATTAATCTAAGCAGGAGATTTCCAAGGCTTGGATCACTGAGGCCAGGCTATCAGAATCCAGGTAGGGTCATAGCTGCATACTGACATTATGCCATAGAAGAGACTTTGGACAAAGATGAATCCAGAAGCAACCCTTTCTAGAACAAGTTGACTGCCACTGTCCTAGAATGATGAACCATCTACCAACTGTTTCAGTCTTATTTGAACTGAGCTTCAGTTTATTGGCTGTGCGATAAAAAAAACTTATAAAAAACACTGTGAAGATCCGGCTTTGAACTGCTGAAAAAGAGGGAGAGCTGCAAGTCAACAGCACACTGATATCACTGTGCTCTGAATCTCCAGATGACCTTTTTCAGAAGGGAAAAATGAAAATCTTGTGGGTTCCCAAAGCCTAAATGGTGGTGCACAGAAATCTCTTAGTATTATCTTCTGGAAATGGTCATCCAGGTATGAGCAGAACCACTACCAAGCCATACTACCTACACCCAATTCAGACAACCTTTCCAGAAGGCTACTATGACTGATGGCACTGTAAATTAAAGCTGTAGGAAAATGAACAGGGCTGACTTTTCCCAGTATAAGCCATCTCGCAGGGCTTCCAAGGCAGTTTCAGTGCTAAAATTAAGACTAAATTTCACTTGAAATGGGTTTAGAAAGAGTGCTCAGATTTGACTGGCCAAAATGTAAGCTTCATACCGTGATTAGTATACATGGATACATTCTACTGCAGAAGTTGTCATCTAGCAGTCTCTGAAAAGTTGCATCTTTTTCTATAACTAAAATAAATTTTGCTTCTGTGATCAAATCTGTAATATTAATGTTACAAGAAAAAACATTGGTGGCATTCCATTATACCACATAATAAAGTGCTGTATACTTCTGAAACAGTATACAAGTCTATTTCACACTTTTAATATAGTATGACTATTATTTTAAAGAGAAAAAAATAGATTTTTAAAAATAGATTCTGCCCTGAAACAAGTATTTTGCCTAAAGGATACTTCTCAGTCCTTCAACGTTAGATGGCACAGCTGCCTAAAACAACAAAAGGTAAAGTATATTAATAGATAAGAGGTGTTCATTTAAATTAATTAGATAATAAGAAACAGACAAATCTCTCAAAAGATTTCCACAAGCATTTTTGCATTATTGATTGATCTGAAAACTTTCAGTTGTGTCTTGATAATGGTTAATTATGTTTAAAATCCTCATATTAACAGTCTAGTCTTAACCCTACTTGCTTGGATGATAGCATAATTGAAATCAGTGGGTACAAGACAACTTCTAAATTGTATACTTATTGTATCATACAAAAGAATTAAAGTTAGACCTCCTAATGGCAGACATTTACATACATTTCAACTATTATTTGCCATTCTCTTGTTTTTTAACTCATTCAGATTTGTGGAAACATTTCATATCTCTCATTGGGTTTGCCTCAATATGGCGGACATATGAAGAAAGAAACAGGAGATTGCTTCGTGTGGGGAGGAAATTGGCACAGGAATCTGTACCATAACCTCAGACGTGTAGCCTTACTGTTTAACCACTGTATCATTGCAGGCACTCAGGCTAGTGCTGTGGCACAATTGGGTGGCCTACAAATGTTTTAAATCAAAACAAAACTGACCTTACTGAAATATGAGGATTCCTGGAGAAATATTAATAACGAAGGGACCTTATGTACAATCCTACTAAAAATAATGAGATTTCCTGAGTACCATCCTTTTGTGCTTAGTCTGGAAATACTGTGATTTTAAAGCCTCTGATCCAACAATCTGTTCCAGGCGTGGGCAGACAGATGCACAATTCTCAGGCCTATAATAATGTATCTATTAGTTTTATTGGAGGTAAGAGATTGGCATATGTGTTTTGCTCTCATTATTCCTCTTAAAATGGATCAACAAATCTGTTTGCACAAGAGCACACTGTACATGAATTTGAATGCATATTCTCTCGGTGAGGACTTGTTTTTTAAGAAGTGCAATATATAAACAAGCATCAATGTGCCTTTGCTTTTTCCTCATTTTCCTTTGTGTTCCTGGTTATAGATACGGTTATCATATCAAAAAATCCAATGAGGATAAATCATGATCTCTTTTCATTGAATAAATATTGCTATGGACTGTTTGAGCTTTAAAGTATAATTTCCCTCTGCTTTGGCTAATTCAAGGCCAGTGTTTATGAACTGGAAATATTTCATTAACTTTACTGTGCAATGGGATTAAGATGTTACATTGAAAATATGATAAATGTCTTATACTGATTCTAGGTGGGTCTGGAACAAGAATAATTGTACAATAAAGAATCTAGAGATACTGGGTGTTGGCAAGTGTTCTTAGTTTACAAAGGGGAGAAGGGAAAGCATCAAAAGATGCAGGGAAGGTTGTTCATTGCTTACTGCAGTGTTATTTTAAAATGATGAGGATTAGAAGAGAGTTTTGGTTTCTCTTTGAAAGTGTTGAATCAGAGGAGTCCCTGAAGAAAGTTGTAATACTCAAACTACACTGCAAAACCATGAATGCATGCCTTCAATTAATCCCAAGTAATAGCATAAGAGTCCAATAATACATACAGCTGTGCTGCAGGTACAGTTGACTCTTGTACCATCTTCTTCAATATAACTTAGATTACCAGCAATGCAACCTTTGCTGGTAGATAGCTGCCAAAAAGAAAACAATGATCAAATATTTCATTGTCAAAGAGTATTACACATTATTAATTGAATATATTATATAAAAATTAGATATCTCTTAGTGTTGAGGTGCACTGTATTCTTTTTTTTTTTAATACTTGAGATGGGCAACTTCATGAAGGCTTGCATTTAATTGACTCAGAGAAGAATCTGTTTTCTCATCCTCAAAATTCAGAAATAATTTGGCTTATTTCCAAACAAATCTTACTTAGGAAATAAGCTACTCATCCCCAAAACCTTCTGTGCCCCAAACCCCTCCCATTCCACTCACTAGGTGAACAAGAGGGAAGGGAGATGTCTCCCCTACCCCGTACTACACTGAAGCAGTTGTTCCCTGTGAAGTGTAGATTTTCCCAAGGATTACTGCAATGTTAGCATGCCAAGTAAAACGACAGTGGGGAGAAGTCTCTCGCTTTTGAGTCTGGCTTGCCAGAGGGTGAGAGACTCCACACATCCCTCTCCTATGACTTGCAGCTGCCACTGTAACTTGGTAAGCAAGATTGGTTGGCTGGGAAGCAGAGGGTTGCAGATCAATGTCTGAGTTAAAGAAGCTTTTACAAGTTGCAGTAAAACTAATTTCAAATGAGAGCCAGTGTGGTGTAGTGGTTAAGAGCATGGGACTGGGACTCAGACGACCTGGGTTCTAGTCCCCACTCAGCCATGGAGCCAACTGGGTGACTTTGGGCCAGTCACAGACTCTCAGCCCAACCTACCTCACAGAGTTGTTGTTGTGGGGATAAGATGGAGGAGGAGAATGATGTAAGCTGCCTTGAGCGCTTTGTAGGAAAAAGGCAGGATATAAATCCATAAATAAATAAGTAAAAATAAAGGTAGGGTGATCCAACAGGCCCCTGAAGCTCAATTTTCAGAGTGTAGAAGTATACATTTTTCTAGTATCTCTGATTATTACAAAATACAGTAACAAAAATGATTATGCTTAATATCTTTCACAATACAGGCTTGAACAAAAACAATTTTGTAAAGGCTTTAAGATTTTTTGTTAAATATTAAGCAAACTCTGTAACTAGGCAAGTCAAACAAGGGGCCTGGAACTGGAAATAAATACAGTAATGGCTGAAGATGTAAAGCATCCTGTTTTGTCTGGTTCAGTGAAGGTGACCAGAACAATAAAACAGAAAGTTGCAACAGAGAAGGGCAATGAAGAAATGAAGGATCATCTTGACAAAAGCAACTGTAAACTCTAGTCCTTGTGAGCATCTTTAGTGCTCGGTTACCATGAGGCCATGAGGTAAGACTCTAGCATTTGTTCATCATGGGCTGGAGCAGACTGAGATCAGTGAGACTGGGCAGAGTAATTTCAGTTGTCAGGTGCTTGGGTGGAAGCAGAGCTCTGATCTTGAACATGAGGATTCACATTCAGATCTCTCTCCATGTTTCAGCTGGTGTGGAAAAAACCACACCAGCTGCTTCTCTTAGGTTAGACAATTGACCTTGGAGAGGCAATAGTGCTTTGGCAGGAAGGCAACAGGGCTACCAGCTTCTTTTGCTCACTCTCTGAAGTGCTATAGCTAGATGGCTGAAATCAGCTGTCAAGCATACTTACAGAGTGGGAGCAGCAGGGAGGCAAAGATTGTCATGGCTAGTTCCCACACTCTACGTAGGATGTTCATAAACTTCCACGTTCAGAGGCTTATAATCACAGAGGGTGCAGCACATTAGTCAGTCATAAGTCCTACTGATATCAGTATTAAGTATATTTAATATATCCTTATTACTAAATCTGAAACCAATTCTATAACCTCTCAGAAATGGGTTAAGGATCCATATTTATCTTATCAGGCCCATGTGTAAATACTGAAACTAAACATTAATATAATATGTACTCATTGCTCTTTCCAAATTTGTTAAGATGTTAAAACTCATGAAATAATTGTTTAATACTTAACAATATGAAGATTCCTCCTAGGTATCTTGAGCATACAGGAAATATCATTGATAATGTCGTCTACAACTCTTTGGTTACAAAAATGTGCTGGATCAGTGTAAAATATATCTCTGTCCAAATAAAATATTATTGTTTTAAAACAAATGTTAATAGTCCCATAGAATTTTAATGTTCTGTAAGGAATATTTAATATTTTAAAATATAAATATTTAGTTAAGTGCCCATTGGCATGGGTCATGAGTATCATCACACCTCCTGTGCCTGCTTCCAAATGACTATTTCATAATAGCTGAAATTCATTGAAAATAAGCAACACTTCTTATACAGAACATTTCAATAATAATCTCCAGTCATTAGGCTGGGGTGTAAATGAGTACTGATTAGCTAGTGTCCTCATTCTCTCACTGTAAACACTTAGAGCCAATAAAAATTATATTCATTTGGAACCTGCAACAGCCACTCTGATGCCACAAAAATGCAGCAGTCACATTGAATAATTAGGAAAAATTTCATTGCTGAAGTGTCATGCTGTATAGTGATACTGACTTAATGCCTCTGGTGGCAGATAATGAAGATCAAAAGGCAAGAAAGAATAGGAGGTAGGCTATGATTTACCAGTGAACCACTGGACAATTTTGATGGACCTAGTGTTTGGCTTCTTGTAGAGAATGGTGGACTAAGTAGGTATTGCACAGACTCAAACAGGTCGCACTTCTGGAGTTCATGCACAAGAACTCTTAACACAGACTGATTATGCCTTAATTTTTAAGAGATCCTCAGGGTATACTTTTGCTTTGTGAGTTTTAAAAACATTGTTAAAAATTCTAGTTTTTAAAAAGTAGACCAGTCTGGACTGAATTTACTCCAACTCTTCTTGTAGAAAGTCTTGTCCCAAACAGGAGGGGGCAATAAGAAATCTGTAAATCTATACTTTGATATCCATGAAAAAGGCTAATTAGACATTCAGTTTTCTAGCTTTCAAACAAAATTTCAAGTGCCTGCCTCTTAAGTACATTTCAGAACTTTGTACTATAGAAGGACAAACATTCCAAGTTACTTGGAAAATTCCCATAGCCTGAACCAAAGTCCTAATCTGAATTTTTTTCACCTGAGAATGGTGTAACATTCTAATACATGTAACATTTTAATTTAATAGAATTTTAAAATGTAAATTCAGTTTTGCTATTACATATACATATTCTTACCTTTTAGTTGCATAAATATTTGTCTGTACCATCTTGTAGATAATAGATAATATTTTGAGAAATAGAGCTGAAATGTAAAACAAAACCTAATAAACATTATCAACCATCCAACAAATACTGAAAATACCTTCATGCTGTTAGCTGTATTTTCAATACAACCTCTGCAAACTGATGTGTTTACTGCAATTAGGAGTGTCCCTTTGTTCAAGAAAGCAGAACTCACACAGCCCAGCATTCTACCTTGCTTGTGCTTGATGCTGCTATCTATTACAAGGTAAACTTTGTGTGCCATGTTATGATGTCTAGTTATAAAATATTCAGTCATAGACTTTTCCTATAATAAGTTATCCTAATACAAGTCAGGTTTTAAAAGTTATTTGTGGATAGCTGGCCAGAATGGGAAGAGAGGCACAATCAAATGGATAACCTATTGAAAGCAGTACAGTGAAGACAGATGACTTAATTTGGCCTATTGACTCCAGTGGGATTAAAGCACAATTGTCTTTAGCTGGATCACAGCCATTACATATAAAAGGCACTTTGACAACTTAATCACTGATACAGAATGCTAGCTAGCAATCATCCTGACATTTTGTATACATCTCAACCAAGACATCCTAATTACAAGAAAATTCAAAAATGCCCACATAAAGCATGGGGTGGGGGGAACAAACACTTTTTGTAAACCCACCAGTATTTAAAGATTGCTTTCACAAAATATCCTGCATCTGCTTACTTGAAATTTGACAGGCTTTGATGGACAACTGTGCTTATAAATGTCATGGCATTATTTCAAGAAATAAAGTTATAGATGGTTTCCTTGAAAAGAAGAAAAAGAAAAGAAAATTAAATGTTTAGGCTACTTGGCCAAATATTTGTTTGAAATTTGGCAGGCTTATTCCATGTAGCAGGAGTTACTTTGCCTGGAAATTTTATCCATCCCTGTCAGAAAGCAAAGCACAAGAAAAAATTTTTATAGCCTTCTGTTGCATGCTCACTGTAGTCAGTGAACAGAGGCACAAATCTTCAGACTTTCTAAAGGAGCTGAAGTAAAGTTGATGACCTCTGAAGACATACACGTCAAAGAGTAGCCATAACTGAATTTGTCCATATGTCTGGTGCATATGAGTATTAATTACTTGGATGTGGGTCAGTAGGGATGATGTGATGCTTGAACCTCAGTACTGACTAATGAGAATACTGAAATTGTGCATTAAGTAATTTATTTGTGTGTATCTGCATTGATCTGTATCTATAAATAATACAATTTTAAGAAGTTCATGAAACATTTTGGCAATATATATTGCCAGATAATAATTAAGGAAACTGCTATTAATGTACTACAGAATTAAAATAAAATTATATATTCCTGACTTACCAAATTTTGGTGCTGATTTGGGGCAATCACTTCTTACTTTCCTTGTAGTACAATTAGATGTCATCTGCAAACCTACAGAATCTTTAAATCTGTGATTAGTAAACAAAAAAATATACTATGTCACATTCTTTAGAATCCACAGGATTATGTAAAATTTAGGACAAATACTTTATGAATGAAGATGAGGAAACCTCAAATGCTGTTGCAAAGGAAGATGGACTTGGAAAAGTATGATTATGGTACTCTGACCATGAAGTGCACTCTGTCCTCACAACTGGCATGGTTCCTTTCGTGCTGGCTGCAACTCTGAAGCAGCAGCTAGGACTTTGGAGCCAACATGGGAACAGAGGGCTCTTCAGCAAGGGGAGGGGCAGAGGGAGGCTTGACAGGATATGAGAAATCCCAGTGGTGCTTTAGCCCCTGCTCAAATGAAAGGGTAAAAGACATAGATGGCCAAAATTAGCTATGTATATCATTTGCAGGGTGCTCTTCATGCCTTTGATTACATGCCTGTAGTTCTGTGAGTTTGGGGTGGGGGGAGGGTTATGGGCACCTCTCATTAAGTTAAATTAACATATTGTCAGATTTAAGAAAGTATTTGGAAAAATAAAATCCAGACTCATGTAAGTTCATCTGAGATCCTTGATCAAAGGAGATACAAATATGATTAGTAAATAAAATATTTTAGGCTGCAATACTGTATCCACTTATGTGCATGTAAGACCTATTGAACTTAGTGAGATATGTTTCTGAATAGGTATGTATAAGATTGCATTGTTAAATACAATGTGGAACTTGAGATATGGTCAGAATGCCAATTTGTCTTCCTGAATTTTGGACTATATTTACAAAATATGGTCTGATGCAAATCATTTGTGTACAATTCATTATTCTCATGTACAGCAGCACTAGTTTTTGTTTCCATTGTTTTATTTTAAAAACAGTATTTCATGCCAATAAATAAGGTGATAAAAGGTGGCTCTGTAGCATACATCTGATGAAATCACTGTAAAATCACTTCCATGTTAAAAGGGAAAATGCAATATGTGTTGTACAAAATAATGACAACACCCAACACATTTCTGCCCATTCAATCTCAATCTTGTGTTGTTACATTTGCAAGCATTTCTGTTTTCCCTTTCTCTTCCTTAAAATACATTATAGAAAAGAGTACAACTTTCTGATAAAAAAACCCCCTAATATTGCAGAAACTACCTTTGCTATTTTTTATGTTTGCATATTGGTGTACATTGATACCCACATCAACTGTGTACCACTTATTGTGCAAATGTAGGAGTGAGGGTGATATTCTTGCCTAGGTAGGGGGCAGGAGATGGAGGTCAAGTTGATTCTGTAAAAGCTGTATTGAAAAATTGCATTTGGAAGTACCTATGTTTCCAGTGTATTAGCAATTATCCTATGTTAGGATTATTATTTATCATTTCATTAACACTTTTCAGTGTATCAAGTTGTCTGTAACGTATGTGACTCCTTAAGAAACATGCTGTTTTTAATAAACACATGAGAAATGTGAATCAATTAGAAAAAACAACATTAGCTCTGCTAATTGCTATTTATTTATTGCCCAACAGCTGAAGCTTCATGGTTTGCTATTCTTCAGACCTCTTATATTCTTTTTTGACCTAACAATATCTTCTTCAAAACCTATAGAATCCATATTCTTGGACTGTGGAGTAATACTCATAATTAACATATTCTTGATAGTTTTAATCAGAATGAAATATCTGGTAACAATATTAGGAAAAAGTTGTATTGGTTTTGGTATGGAAAACACCTGCATTTTTGTTCTTTGAATGCATTGCTTTTAATGTCCTTAAGGTGGCAGAAGGCACTATACTATAAAACTGTAGAACTTGAGATATCTCAATAAATTGGTTGGGATCCAGGTGTTAGACTCACTGAATTCCATGGGGCAAGTTAGTCATGAATAACAAGTTCTGTTGATTTCAATGGGTCTAAGTCTGGGTTTAGCCCATTAGTTTATTTCAATGTCTGTTCTGCTCTATCCCTTAAAATACATCTAAAAGTTAGCCATATAAAACAGTGCCAGTGGGCATATGGTCTAAGTCACATCTTTATCACATTTAGAAACATTCCTATATAGATAAAAATGTTAGCGATTGCACAAATCTCATGTTTTAAATTAGGGATTTGAAACTGGACTATATCTGAGGCAATTCATACTTTCAAGAAACCTTCTTTACAGCCCCATCAGCAAGTATTTGTCATTTTGTGGTTAGCTTTGTTCTGTTATGTACCAAAATGATGGCACATGGGAGAGTAAAACCCTGTTGAATCATCTGAAATGGCTTAAAATATAGTGTTGCTGTTTGTCTGGCTGGCAAAGCTAACAATTTCTCTTTTCTTCCAGTTAAAACATCACTTTAACCCCAAACTTATTAGATGCTTTTACAAGTGACTATCCCATTTGCCTCAGTTCCCTCTTTGCAATATTCTTATTAATTTTTTATCTCCTGGCCTTTTCCCCTAAATTTCAAGGTGATTTTGCATTTAGTCATTGATCAGCCCCAGTCCTAGTTAATTTCAGCAAATCAACTTAACTATATCCCCTCAGATCATATTCTGGACAGTGATAGATAATAATACAAAGATCATAACAATGGCCAGTTGTAAAAATTGAGATAAGACATATGAAGTCCTCTGAATACCTACATGTCCTATATAAATGCTAAATATTAGTAATATTGGTGGCTCAGTCTCTTGGTATCAGTAAGCTTCTATAACTAAAATTGGAATGGGAGTGAGAAGAGGGCTGATGGAAGAGCACAAAGAAAACATTGCACCATGGAACATGGCCTTGTGAAAGTTAAAGATGTTTCATCTCAAAGCTGATGAGTTGTTTCAGAGAAGATGTTTCAAACTCAAAGTTTTTGGTGTCTTTTTTATACCTGTTTAATGCTCTATGTTGCCCTGCTATGAAGGACAATATACATTGTATTCAGTAAGTAAAGAGCAACATTTTGTTTGTGACAGTTATATACATCAAATTTACAAGCATGATAAAAGATACTAACTGTATATTTCCCCAATCAGATCTGTTTTTCAAGATGAGAACAGGTGCTTCATTTCTGGACAGACTTTTGATAATATCTTCAGTGATGTTTTCAATTGCACTAAGAACCTGGGAACTGAAACAATGATATACAATTTCATAGAGGATGCAGACCAGTTGCAAAATCTTGAATAAACCTTCGGTATTTGATGGACTGATGTAGCTACAGGAAACATTTCACTGCACTTTGCCTTGTTTTAAGTACCTCTAGAAGTCTTAATTTGGTATTTCATGTGTGTAAGCTTCAGCATTAGGAAGTACATTACCAGCCACTCCTCATGTATTTTTCTTCAACCAGCCAAACATTTGGTTTAAAACAACTATGATTAATGTTTAAAATCAAATGATGTAATATTAGCTTTGGCCAGAGTTTGACTTAACTTGTTTTCAAATGCTGTAAACTTCAAAAAAATGTTCAAGGGTATAATATAAGTACTTCCTCTCCACCATAGCACATTAACCTTTTGATCTGACACTTTGAATGAGTGCCTGTGGTTTTTAATTATATGAAGGTTTTGGCTGGATAGCAACATTGTGTGTGTGGCTGGGGGGAGATAAAATGTGTCATGAACTGAACTGAGAATACTAGTAGTGCTGCCCCGTATAGAAAATAGCAGGTTGCTTTGAGCCTCCTGTGAACAAAATTGAACTTTGGTTTAATTTTCTCAGCCCCCACCCCCACAGTATACAGCTGTGCTCTTGATGAACTATGTTAGATGGAGCAGCCAGTTCATAGATGCTGTATGAGTTTGAATCTATAATACAAGTCAAATAAACTGAGGATACAAAACCATTTAGGCAGTTCCAAGAATTTCCTTTAACTTATTGAGATTTTTTTCTTGAATGTTACACATCCATGCTATATCAGAAGACCAATTCAGAGAATTTCCTCAGCTTCAGAAATGGTTTCCTATATGAATGGAGGTAGTTGGGTGGGAAGGTGTTTGGTTGACATTCAAAGAACAGAAGACCCAAGTTCCTTTTGGCATACAGAACTAGTTGTGGAGCTCTTTGGACTGTTACTTAACTATGGATGATTAGATTCCATGGTGGAAAAGAATGTGGTCTTCCTTAAATAAAAGCACAATAATAGTATAGAGCACAATGAACATCAACATTAACAATGTACTTCCTCCTATTAAGGAAGTATTAAGTCCTTTTTAAAGATAATGCATATCTTCAAAAGAGGATTTTTTTTAAAGAGGGTTACTACTTATCAGAATTAGAAGGCAGGGTGTTATATGCCTAGCACAACTACTCCTTGATTTTTAGATACCTTTTCTTTACAAATCGCTCATGTTTCAGGTTGAAAAGTTTCAGAACAGAATTACGTTGATGGACAAATTAAATGTACAGGAGACCTCAGCACTCTTAATTTGCCATATTTCCTATTGGTACTTTTTTACCAAGTTAATCCTGATTCCTTCAGTTGTTGCAATTATTTTTTATGACCCATGTGTATTGAATTTTATCGCCATTCTGTATAAGTCAGATCGTAGCTAGATATGTTTCTGTTTCATCTTTATAAATGTGTGGCTAAGTAAACACTGCCAAATGGTAGATACAGGTTTCACATTGAGGCTTAAAGTCTGGAGTTTGGAGCCAACAAAATTTGAGAGAGCTTTAAAGGAGAAAGGGAAGGATTTGAATGGCATGCTCATTGGAATATATCACATATGTTCTTTCTTTCATTTTAGCTTCTACTTCTTAAAGATGAAGTAACTCTTAAGAAGAAAAATATGCATTACTGGCCAAACATGCCAACTTAAAAAGCTCTCAGCATTAATTACAGAGAAATCTAAGCTGGGAACAGCAAGGCACTACAGATGTATCACATGAGGATAAGGCCTGTCAGCTCATTTCCAACAAGTCACAGCATGAGCATTCTTTCTTTCATTTTTGGCAACACAAATAGAAATGCACTTAAATCATTATTTCACAACAGGAATTAAAAAACAAACAAACATCCAGTTACAGAATTAATTCTTGGGTATGTATATTAGCAAACTGTAGAATATGAACGCAGATGATAATCATTCTAAATTAAATTTGGGGGAACATGTTGCTTAAAACAAGGGTATTAAAATAGTAAATGTCTTCCTTCATAACCAGTGCAGTAGTGTTACATGCATATGTAGTGTTAGAAGCTGCAGCAGTTCTTTTTGTAATATTGGAAGTTGCTAGATTGCCATTACTAATTCTGCATCTGCTTTTTTGTGAAAAAGACCAGTTAAGTTAGTTGTAAATGTGTATAGGTGCAGAGACTAAAAAACAGTGTACATTGTTCTGACAAATGTAGATGCAAGTAATATGGAATGATAGAAGTAATGTCTTTGGTATAAGTTACACACTTATGGTCAAAACATTATCTCTGTTTCCATAGGCTTGCCATATTACATTCTAGACCTTGGAGTAGTTCTTGAATAGTGGAAAGGAAGACAGTCAGGACATCTCTTGCCTTGTTTCTGCCACAATCCCTTCACTAATCCTCCCATCTTGCTTTACAACTGCACAAAATGAGAATACTGCTTGCTCCAGTAGGTGGCATGGGAGGGTGGCTGAAGGAACCAGAAGATGAAGACACAGTTGTGGATTAGGCACATGTAACTGCGCTTCTGTGTGGAATTGTAACTTTTGTCCACTAAAGAAACAAGTGTGCATCCAAGGTTGCACAAGTGGCTGTCCATTCACACAACTGCACTTCCCCACCCCTCCACTGCAACCCCTGACAGCCCTTAAAACCCACTGCTGAGGCTTGGTGGACCCTCAAGAAATGGCTGAGGGGATGGGCTGTAGTAGGCGAGGAATTTGGTGTATATCTGGAAGAGGCAGATTCCATGAGTGGAAAGTTGCTCACAGAAACTTAATTTGGCTGATTTTCAACAATCTCCCCACATCACTGTAGCTCCAAATATCACTTCTCACACCTTTCCTTATGAGTAGACATTTGTGGGCTAGCTGTACCAAGTACAAGCCAGCTTTGTATTTTCAAAATAGGACGTTTCATTGAAGCAGCCTGGTAATATTTTTTTTCTGCATTCATGGGACACCTGGGGTTGGGAAGTGGGTATTATATGTGGCATTACTGCAGCTAAAGTGAAAGTATTATCTATTTTGTCAACAGTGCATTTCTGAGGGAAACATCCTGCACAGAACTGTTTGAAGAAGAGGAGATGCTGCAAAATTATTACTTATTAGGCCCAGTATATTTTGATGAATAACTTCACTGCACTAGAGAAAGGGGGCATACAAGTCCTGCAGAAAAATGTTCTGAAGTATGCTTCTGGGCAGCAAAGCAAGTACACACTGCTTGCTATATTAAGCTCAAAGAGTAGAATAATTTGATACTCCTATTTTCTGAACATAAGTCTTATATTGCATGATAGCAGAACAGGAATCTGTCTTTCATATTTTTTGAAATGCTTGTCCAAAAGCTGTTAGCCAAACTGGTTCAAGAACCAGTGTAGTGTGGTAATTAAAGTGTTGGACTGGGGACCTGAGAGATCCAGGTTCTAGTTCCCTCTTGGTCAGCTCACAGGTGATTTGGGACAAGTCACTCCTCTCAACCTAGCCTACCTCACAGGACTGTTGTTGTGAGGTTAAAATGGAGCTATGTAAGCTGCTTTGAGTTCCTCCCTAGAGGAAAAATGATAGGATATAAGCACAATGTGATATGAATGCAGTGTAATAATAATATGCAAATAGTGGCACATGTTACTGTTTTGCCAATGTGGGCTATTCTGCAGGAGAGATGACTGACGATTTCAAAGTGCAGGAAAAAGTGCAGGGTAGCGGTCGCTACTACTGTTTTGCACGTGGTCTCAAACTACAGTGTGAATGAAGAGGAGGATGTCTTTCTCTCTCTTGGTGCTGAAAGAGGCTCCAGCTGCGATCTAGCTTCACGTCTTTACCTAGAGAACTCAGAGCTTTGACTGGCAACAAGGGGTTCTTCCACTCCTCCTCTGAGGTAAAGTCGGTGTTGATCTAATAAAGTAAACAAGGACCAGTCTGTTCCTCTGAAGAAGCTCATATTGAAGCTGAAATGAGGGCACAAAATGAAAGGCTAAATCTTTGACAAATTCAGGAAAGGGAGATGGCACTCATCCTGTCCACTCTCTTCTACTTGTGTGGCATTGTGAACAGTGGAAAGACATAAATTGATGCCTTCGCTGCAAAACCAAAGGTTGTTTTCTTCCTGCCCTTGACTAATTAATTGGGGCAGGGATAGTGGAAAATGCACGAGGAAACGCATGCTTCTCTTCAACACAGACGGTTTTGTGTCAATCATTAGCTGGGCTAAGCAGCGCGGCCAATCAAATTAGGAGGCAGAGGTAGGTGTAAGATACATTCCTCTGCATGTTAGTTTGAGGAAAGGCCTACAACTCCCAGCATGCCCCAGCCAAGATGGCTGGCTGGGTCACGCTGAACCTAGTAATTCTTTTAAAATTTATGTTTCTATTGCACCCTTTTTCCTGCAAAGAAGCATGGTGGTTTACATAACTTCCCTCTCCATTTTATCCTCAGAACAATTGTGTGAGGTAGATTATGACTAAACTTCTGACTGAACTTAATTGGGATTGTGCCCTTAAGTCTCATGCATTGATGAGCTTGTCTGCAAACCCACGTTTTTACTTGTGAGGAGTTAGGAGGAATGTTGTAATGAGAATCCTTTAAAATAATAAACGTGAAAATGTGACTCTTGGTAGTTGTGCATAGTTTGTAGAGAAATCAATGTGCCAGTTGCAATGTATTTTTAATAGAGTTACAAGAAAGTTTACCAAAATAACAACAACAATGTATCTTGTGGTTCCAGGGTGGAGGTCTGTCTTGCGGGGTTGATGGGCTAGGTCTCCAGGAAGAATGACACTAAGGGAAGGCTGTAGTTCAGATTTTCCCAAATTGCATGTTAGACCTCTGGATGTGTCAGACTTCAGCTACAATTCACCCAGCCAGCAACCAACTAGCAGAACAATGGGAGTGGTAGTCAAACACATCTGGAAGCTCCCCAGTTGGGGAAGGCTGTTTTCACTATTGTCTGAATTGCCCTTCAACAGCTTATTACTTTGCAGGAGAAAAGCACCTTTTCAGGCATAGACTTGGGCCATGCTCATTTGCATCCTGCCACAAAGCCACAGTAAAAGAATACAACTGAGAAGAGTGCTCTTGAGGAGGCCCAGATTTTTCCACATGGACCCCACTTGCAGTTAGACAAAATCTGAACTTTGCCTTTCTCAGCCTATAGCAGAAGTTTCTGGGGGGTCATTTCCCTGTTCCTCCCTTTGCCCCACCCCCAGTGTTCTGTGACTCCCCATCAGGAAGTTGTCTTACGCGTTTAATTTACAGTCCTTGTGCAAGTCGGTTTATTTATTTATTAATTTTTATACCACCCCGCTTGTTCTACTGAGCGGTGAACACGTAGAGAACAAGTTTAAAACATAGCAGTAAAATGTCCAACAGTACGTCTTCTGTTATAATGCAAATATATGGTTATATTTGTTTGCTTCTATATTAATTTTAAAAACAGCAACTACACTGCTGTATTCCAGGTGTACACCACCAAACAAATAAGCAAGCGACTATTAGTTCCATTTTGAAGGGCTGGGAGGAGCTGCAGGAAGACAGGAAATACATGACAAGCAGGAAAGGAAGAGCATCTCTACACATCATACATCCTGCCCAAGGACCTCTTCTCCCACCCATTCTACATGCTTTGGACCACAACATCAACCAAAATTGTGCATCTGCTCTGCCTTTTCCTTTTACAGGGCCTTTATCCATTGTATGTTTTTAGCTTAAAAAATGCTTCTTTTTGATAACGTTATGGCTTTCTCTTGCATTTTGTTGCACTGTTTTTATGTATTGTAAACTGCTCATGGCCTTTCACTGTTATGCAACTGCAGGTAGATTTTTTAAAAACCTATTTTTGTGCACAATTTTTTTGCACTTAAAAAAAGCCAGGACATTGATGGGTAGTCCCTTTGAAGTGCCCCTGGAGCATTTTGAAAGGACTGCTTGTAACTTACAGCTATCAAAAAAGGATAGGGAAAATAGTCTCAGTAGCTGGTTTTTTCTGATCTCAGGGTGGGGAGCAACAAGAAATCTGTGGTAAGACCAATAAACGTTCTGGGCATAGCAGGTTTTTCCCCACGATGGCAGGAGGACCAGCATCCCACAGTGAGCACAGTGATCCGTTAGACTCACATTGGGGTTTTTTCACACAATCAATCCATATTGGCTTACTGTCGGCATGGCTAGCATGACATTGGACCACACCCGGTGTTGTTTGGATCTCCTGCTAAATTCCTTAAGTGAGGTAAGGACAATGGTCCCAGAAACGCCTTATCTGGAGTCAGCCCAAGATTCGCAGTCTCTTTTCTCCTCCCAGCAAGGCCACCCGCCCACTCTTTCAGAGAGACAAGGACTAGTATTATTGCTCAGGAGCCCAAGTGCATGCCAAAACCAAACCCACCCTTAAATAAGCTCAAGTGCCTACGCTTGCTTCCATGCGAAAGGGGCTCCCTTTCTTCTAGGCTATTAATACGGGGAATTTATGTGCAAATAGCCTCAGAGCAGAATTCACCAATATCCTGTTTTCCTAAGAAAGGTCCTTCTGTGCATGAAACCATTGGGAAAAATAGATGAAAATTCAGGAGCCTATAGAATTCCTGAATTTTAGACTAACTCTAAATCTGTCAGAAGTTGTGAATGGTAGTCCGTAAAATCTTCTGTTGGAGAAAATTAATCCATATTACTCTTAAGAGAACTAGAGAATGGCATTTTTTCAAACCTAGAACTCAAATGTTTTTTGTTTTTAGTCCCTGCAATGCATATATTTGTGTGGAGAAATATTGGTGGGAAGTGGTTGGGTTGGATGATTTAAACCTCCCCTATCTATCTTAGGAGGACCTGATAAGGTTTACCTCCGGGTTACATTTACACTGCAGTAACAACATGGTGAGAAACAGCTGCATGATATGTATTTTGACATAGTGCATTGTTTTGCTTTCAGAGATGACTGTTTGACTTGCAGTCTAGCGAAAAGCTCCTCTGATGCAGATAAGAGAAATGCTGGGCTCTTGACAAAATTAGGCTGACAGCACTGAACATTAGGATACATATTAGGGCATGGGGAGCTAATAGTACTAGCTCTGCCACCAAGTATGATGTCCTTTTGTCAAGAGTGATGGGTCTGGATGTCACTTGATTTTTTTCAGAGGGTCCTTCTGCTTTTGAGATTTCAGAGCAAAAGCTGCTTTAGAATTAGGTAATAGAATATTTTTGGGTGCAGCACAAATTAATACGTGCTGAAGCTTGTTTTTTATTTTTTTATTTTTTTGCTTTTTTGTACAGCATTCTAGTTTTAGGAGCCAAGAGGGCCATGAAAACAATAACCTTGAGGGTTTTGAAGGTTACTAGGTTCTAAGCTTTCCCTCTCAGATAGATCAGAATCAACTGGTCCCATCTATTTGGGCAGCAGGACTGCAAGGCCTAGGTGGCTAATTAGAAATACAAAACTGTTATGATGTAATAGAAATTAGTTGCCAAAATGCTTTGGTAGCTTTTGCAAATTTCAACACTCTCTTTACTGTCATATAATTTCTATATGAGCATTTTTTCTAATTTTGTAAATGATGAACCAGTTTAAAGTGCATTTAGAAGTCACCTTCACAAAAAGTATCTTAGGAAGCAGTTCAGGACAGTGTTAGTTTCCTCCTCTCACAAGCAAGAGTGATATCTGGACAATGTCTAGGGCTGGTACCCACTAGCACTCAATTGCTCAGCAAATTGCCACTGAACAATTTAAATGCAAGATTTTTCTGCACAAGCCCTTTACTGAGAACTGTAGAACTATTTCAATCGGCCAGTGCAGGAAAACACCCTGCTGAATTCTGCCTTTTATTTGGATTGGACATAGAACGCACAAGATTGTTTTTGCCATTTAGCCCTAAATGAAATATGTGAAACCTCAAATTTAGCCCACCGTGATAGTGCTAAGACAAATCTGAAGCTTTTCTTTTTCTTCTGAATTCCAGTGAAGCCTCTGGCTCTGACATAAAAGAAAATGCTGCAATCAACAAAGAAACAACAGAAGAGATAATTAACAAATCCTTTAAAATTAACACACCTTTCTTTGGCCTTTGGGTATCTGGAGATCACACAGGAAATATTTATGCAAAACCCCTGTAGCTCTATTTAAGAGCTCCATTTCAAGACCAAGCATTTCAAGGTTTGTTTGATACACAGGCTGCCAAGTATATGCCAGGACCTTAAATAACATTGACAAATTAAATTGCACATCATTATAAGGTATTTTAAAGCCTTTTGTTTGAGTACAGCATGCAGTATCAACTGCACTTAAATATGTCTCCAAAACTGAATATAATTTCCCGCACTGCTTTTTAAAGGATGATTATCACCACATATATTTGAATTACTCTTCCAGCAAACATACATACATACATACATACATACATACAAATATAAAGTCACCTACCTGAATATTCTCAGTAAATCAATACTATGATAATGCTAAAACAAATTTTGAAGCTTTTCCTTTTCTTCTTAATTCCAGTAAAATCCCAGGCATTGAGATTTTTAAAATTATATTTTAATTCTGTGGTACTCCCTGTATCCATTTTACTGTAAAGTTTTATCTTTTGTGCAAATGATTTAATATTTTAAAACCTAGTGGTTCCAGCTTCTCAGCACATGAACACCTTACATATGGGCAGAGCAGTCCTATGTCCCCTAGACAACATCTAGACTGCCAAAGGATTGTTTGAATTCCTAGCTCCATGTCTGGAAAATTGCCCAAACCTCAGAGCTAGGGATTCATAATCAGATCCTTTTCCCCCACAGTCAGAGTAGGAGTACGGAGGGGACCTTTGCCTCTTCATTCTTCCAAATCCTCAGGACATTCTAGTTTGGAGACTTAAAGGATCCCCACAGGACTGCACCCTTAGTGACATTCATAATAATTTCCTACTCCCTGTAATTTACTTTTGAACCTACCTTAAATCGATTGAACACTTAATACAATATTTAGATTTATAGTGCATAACA